TGAGGCCATGCCAATCTGCTGCCCCCGTATGCGTTGACTGTGCAAGATGTGCATGTTTCCGTAGTGCTGAGCCAGAAGAAGTCCTGACCGCGCATAGATTCAGCGCGTTGAAATGAAACTTCTTCTGGCCCTGCACCTGGGAGACTCCCAGTCTTGAATTGTCAGGATTCGGCTGGAGACTACACCGCCAAGTTGGCCGGATGCTTGCAGCACAGGTCTTTACCCAAGTGTGTGCAAGATTGCAAGTGATACAGGGCGGGCTCCTCCGCTCGTTGGAGACCAACGTTGCCGAGCCAGTTGCTAAGCTGTTGCGTGGTCCTTTTGTTGCCGTTCTGCCGGAATTTTTCCATGGTTTTCTTTCTTCCAGGGAGTGGCGAGGTAGTGCCCCTCAACAAAGCCAAAATCAGATGTCAGACCAGGCCTGCGGCTCTTCTGAACCAATTCTGGGCGCATCTTTCGACAGGCACTACACTCAGGTGCTGAGAGGCGAAAGTGCACTTGCCAGTTTGACAAGGGACAACGTGGCAAACCAACTGTGCACTCACTCAACTACAACAGTATCTAAGCTGGATGAAACTACTGGCAGTGGCCTGAGCAGCCACACAAGGTGAGCGTGCGCGGTTCGTGCTGGAATTTCCCCAGTTTCGGACTGAACCTCAGCAATGTTTGTTCTTGCATCAAGCGTTTGCAAGCCGGCCCGCCAATGCCACGGTTCATTGATAACTGGGGTTGGACACTGAAAAATTCCAAGGAGCACAATGCGATACATCATGACTATTAACTATTCGTTCTAGGCCAAGCAGCGCGGATTTCCATGAACCAGCAGGCTTCAGCCATCGCTGGCTGTGAATCAAAAACACCAGGTTTGTGGTAATAGGCTTGGGCGGCCATCCCGCGACATAGGCTTGTAACAGAATTTACTGGCTTGCGACAAGTTTTTTTTGGGTAATGCCACCGTGCCATGCTCTTGCAACAAAGGTATGTATCAATAGGCCGCGACAAAGAAGTAAGTAACAAGGGGTGCTGGGGGAGCGGAGTTCTGATCCACAGCCAAATTAGATGGTTGTAGAGCTTGAGACGTAAGAGGCCAGTAGGAAGCCAGCTTGGTTAAAGCGAGCAGGGCCGTCTTCGTCGTGATAGAGTGCCTACATGTCATGGGAGATCTGTCTCAGGCGTCATTTGCCCGACAATTGGCGCTTGGGACTCAGCGGCTGTCGGACGTCACTTGCTTTCAGCACCGTTGAAATCCAGGAGCTACCTGATGCTTCTGCTGTGCAAACGCACGCGGCTACACGGACACAAGAGCTAGAGTCAAAAAGTCATTTGCTTCTTAGCTTATCCTGAAGATGCTGCTGGACTTGCCTGTTGGCGGTTGGTATTTGCCAATTCTCAGTTTTACTTACCTGTCTGACGCATGGCAAAGCAGCCCTTAAAAAAAAAAAAAAAAAACAGTGGAGAGCAGTGGAGGGACACCTGATGCCACAATGTCAGACGACCTTTGGGTTTCCCCGGGCTGTCAACGACCACGTCTAGAGTCTAGAGGAATTGCAGAAAGAAAGGGAGACCAAATCTTAAGGAAGGAAGGGAATGGATGAAGTGCTAGTGCAGGACCCTCTGAATGCCACAGGAGGTGGGAGGGTGAGTGAGTGAGTGACCTGGGGTGCCCTCCGGCCTGCGGAAACTGTCCCTCTCACCCTCTTTGCCCCTCCGCCTGCGTCATTGGGGCTCCAGCACTTCAACGCTCCCGGCCCCTAAATCCGATCGGGGGCAGGGTCTGCCACCAAACCTCCATTGCGGCATGGGGGGCAGGGTCAAACCAATCACGCACACACGCACCGGCAGTAAGACCAAAAAGCAATTTCAGCTGAATCCCTTGTGGCTGCGAATGCGCGAACAGTACTGTATACCCTCGGCGTGTGGGGCAATGCTTGAAGGCACCAGAGGGAGAAGAGAGAGAGACAGAGAGAAACTGCCCTCGACCTTGGCACAACGTACATCGCTTGGGCTTGGGGGTCTACCCCGGCTCCCCTGCAAGGGGGGGGCAGAGCCCAAACTGCCCTCGTTTTCATATTTTCCGTCGTGGACGAATCGCTGGCGAATGTGGGTGAGCGCAGGCTTGGGAACCCCTGTTTCTGTCATACTCTTTTCCTTTGCTGTGGTATTTTGGAGACCCCTTCCGGAACGATGCAGAATCATGACAGTAACCGAGGACAGTGCTGGGGAGCCTGGGAACCATTACATACCCACTTTGGATATTTTGGATGTACTCCTTTTTGGTATTCTGTTTTTTTTTAAGAATGCGCACGCAGCCCGACCAAACCATATCCGACTGAGCAAAGCAAAGCGGAGCACGCCCCTCGTGTAAAGACTAAACTTACTGGTGCGCACTGAGAAGGCTGCAAAAGCCAACGAAAGAAGTGGAAGTTTGGAGAAAGGAGAGAGCATTCATGTTGGGAGGACCCGCAGTACGGATGACATGACAGTGGGACGGCGAACGACACAGGCAACAAATGCATGGAGCAAGGACTGGGTACAGGTATGTACCAGCCTGGAGGCCCTGGTCCTTCATTTACTCTTTACATCTGTACATTGTAAACTGCTTCCTGGCCTTGTTCCAGTGTTCCGGGAACTTGCATTGTACCCGTATGTTGACTGAAACTAAACATGTCCTAGGCTCGTTGTCCCTCAATGCTTTTCACTGAATGCTTGGTAGGGAGGCAGTATAGATTTCCCCTCTAGAAGGAAGCAAACCTGAGGTCACGTGCTAAACGATATCTAACCTTGGCTTCAGCAACAGTATCTTTTGATTGAGCAGGGAAACTTGGGGAATGTGAACAGAAGTTTCAGCCAGATCGAGCAGGGGAGAAGGAAGTTAGAATTCTGGCAAGTGACATGCAAGGGATTGTAGGTTTGGGGAACTTGCCAAACATGTTTTAACACCATCTCGCGCATCCTCTCTAGATGCTGACTTTGAACCTCGAACATGCAAGGGATTGGGACACAGCCCCGGCGCTACTGCAAGGTAGCGCATAGCCCATAGACGAAGAAGACGAAGAAGAAGGAGAGAGAGAGAGAGATCAGCGGGGGAAAGAAAGAAAGAAAGATCAGCGGGGGAGGGCCCTGGAGCCTTTCCCCATAGCCTGAACGAAAGAAAGAAAGAAATATCAGCGGGTCATTGGGCTGACCCGTAGCACCAGCATTTGCAGGAAGAGCGATCAGCCGACATTGCAAATAAGTTCTTGCGCTGGTTGCTCAAGCCTGAGACCTCAGCTCCTTGATGCCAAAAGCCGAAGGCTGGGACATGGGAACTGCGCCGCGGCTTCGGATGCAGAGCGTAAGTACGCTACGCACATGCGCACCCATTTTTTTGGACGATTGGCATGCTGGATGGCAACGGACAGCTGTGTGCGGTGGTCCTTCAGTTGGCGATCGCAGATGTGCCTCTTGGTGATGACTTGGTGGTCAATCTCTGCTGCAGTTACAATTGTTATGAAGCAGACGGTTGGAAGCAATGGAAGCTACCAATTCCCTTTTGCCTTGACCGCAATGACTAATGGCGTTTGCGGCTGGATCTCCGTTGTGACATACCGCAGTAGACGTGCCAAACATGCACGTCGGAACGTGCTTCGCTGGCTTGATTTTGCGAAGTTAATGGGTTTGGGCGTACTCCAAGGTATAGAGATAGGTATGTCAAACAAATCTCTGGAGTACTTGTCCGTGTCAACTCGAACAATATTGAGCTCTCTGAGCGTCTTCTTCATGATGATGTCAGCAAACCTCTGGGGACTCGAGGAGTTGGACCGACTTCGGATTTGCAGCGCTGGCTTTCAAATCCTTGGAGGGATGCTCCACGCCTACGGTGCCTCTCACAGTGCCGACACGTTGGAGCACGCGGTAAGCATCCAGATCACTGGGATGCTCCTTCAGTTGTTCACCTTATTGCTGTCCTCACAACGCTGGGTGATGCTACAGTTCATCATGCAGAAATCTAAGCTTCAGCTTAACAAGGTTGAGCTAGCTGCCTTCATCATGCCAGTGACTTCTCTGGTATGTTTAGTTTTGGCTGCAATCTTTGAACAAGATGCCTTCAATTTGCCTGTCATGCGAGAAGCTGGGTTGCCATGGATCGTTGCCTTTGTAGCCCGAGCCTTATGCAGTGGACTGGAGAAGACTTGACGTACACATGCATTGCATGTTAACCCATCGAGATTTTAACGCAAGCCAGCAGAGATAGCAAAGCAAGGCGTGCGGCATTGGCATCCTGACCGTCGCTGAACTTCGCCTGGTTCATATTTCGTCAGCGGTGGCGTTGCAGGTTTTGGGCACCTTGCACCAGATACCTCTGGTGATCACTGGGGTGCTGTGGTTCCAGGATCCTGCTCCTCAGATCCAGCCAGTGGCAACCAGAATCATGTCTAGGTCTAGGTTATTTGATAGGGCCCAAGTACTGGTGAGGCTTTTGTTGCATCTGTTCTTGTGTTGCTCCCCGACCCCTGTTCGTCACGCCATCTGAGCCAGACCTGTCCCACGCGCGTGACTCTTCAGTCTTCTCACAGTGCTTCCCGCTGTTTTCTGGACTCTGTACTGCGTGGGCCGTTCCTTCAACAGCGTGCCATGTTCTTGGTGCGCGCTGCATACCGCTCCTCTTCCGCCAATGTGGGAGGCCTTTGTGACCCGGCTCCAGTCTTCCCATCCTGCACCCGGACTTGACGTCTTGCATCTTTGGCTTACCCATCTTCCTTCTCAGCACCTTTGTGATCACAGACCAGGCTACGTGACCTTTCTGCGCGAAACCGTTTCTGAACCCGCTCAGAACCTCATACTTGTGCATTCTACCCTGCTGCCTCCCCCTGAGGTCTGCTCGCTTCAGCTCCACCGTGGAAAGCCTCCCAGCAGCCCATCCCCCCGACAGCTGTACGGGAGTTCGCTTGAATGGAATGCTGAAACACTTTCTGTTTCGAAGGCTTTGCGCTGAAGAGGGGCCCGTACACAGCGTAGCAATTTGAAATTCTCAAGGGGCAAGAAGTTGAACAAATGTTGTGTTTCATTTTGCACTAGGGTGAACCTTGTTCCCCTATTGTTGCGCGGGGGCAGTTGGAGCTATTGAGAGTTCTACCAAGAAAGTATAGAGGGCTTTTGAACCTTTAGCCAGGTTACCTTCTGCGCGATCGCGAAAGCAGGGCCGGATCGTGATCATTTGTTCTTCTATTGGCCGCCACCAGTGCTTAGAAGTCTTCAGTGCTTGTCGAAGCTCAAGCCCCGAGTCAAATCAGGACAACCAAAGCAGAACGGAGGCAGTCTCAGCCTGCGAATGACAAAGGAAAGTGACAGGCCACCAGGCCCAGAACAGTGAGAGGACCTGCATGGAGCAAGGAGAATAAAGCCACTTTTCTGGGCCGTTCAAACTGAGGATCCTCCGACAGTTGAGAAGCAGGGTAAGAAAGAGGAGGAAGCCGAGAAGTGATGACGCAGCAATCAAAAGGGCATACCAGCGCTGCCGAGACTCCATCAATTAGCTTGTGCCGAACTCATCACTCTGCCATCTTCCCGGTGGGAACACACTTAATGAAAGGATAGGATCCAGGGAATCAAAAGCCTCAACAAGAAAGTGTACGAAGAGCAAAGGCTTCGCAAGACTGTGTTGGCAATCTCCCCTGGCGCTCTTGCATATGGAGTTGCATGTCACACAAAAAAATCGGTACACATGAGGGAGCTGGCTTTGCAGAAAAGAAATGCCAAGCGCTCATTTCAGTCGAAAGCAGCATTCCGTGTGGTGTCGCAACTTGTGCAGACTTGTCAATGCTATTCAGGTTGACATGCAGAGTGTCTTGGGCTTTGCGTGCTGCCTTGGTGGTGCCCTCTGCTATGCCGCTGCCAAGCATCTGCCGGTGGACAGCGTGGAGCTCAGCGAAAACCAGTGGAATCTGAAGCACAACTACTTGTGTTTTTTCCCAGTGGGAATGTGCGCAGCAAGTTGTTTCTGCAGATTTGGGACCGCTATAAGTATGATCGCATTGTTCCTGCGACCGTAAGGTTTAGGGGCTAAATGCACGCAATGAAATAATGAAAGCATGGAACCACCACGGGTGTCTTGTTCTCCAGCCGCAAGCCAGTATGTCTACATCGTGCCGTGCCTGTCAACACGTGCACACTGAACTTGCTTGCTTGGCAGCAGCAGCAACTGAGGCAAAGACTTCCCTGCCACCGACAAAAACCTTCAGCTGGATGAGTAGAGTCTTATTTAGCGTTGTCGTAGGGTCCGCGGGACGACGGCTGTATATTGTACATTGATCCCCCTGATCGTTGGCGATGGATTTGCATCATCGCAAGTAGAACAACTGTGATAGCTAGCGACGAGCACAAATAGCAAAGCGATGACGTGGAAGAAGCCGCCAGCATCGGACCGAGAAAGCTTCCGCAAAGGGAAGCCGCCTCAAGCATCAGCACCCCTCTCATCGCACTCACGGGAGCCAACTAGGCCAGACCAAGCTATGTGAAAAGCAACGGGAAGCGCTGTTTGCACATCATGTCTCACTTCGTGGGTGGTGACACAGTGGCTAGTCAAGCCGTTCATGGCCTTGAATCGAGGTTAGAAGTGGATAGGAAACGGGCAGTTTACTAAGATTCAACAAGCAAGACCCAAGCTTCTTTTGAAATGCCGCGTGTTGCAACATCGGGAGTCGGGCAGTAACTAGCCGCCTGCTTGTTCGCATTGCAATGGAAGGTGCCATCTTGTTTAGCTGCAATGGAAGGCTGCCGGTTGCTCCGGGCGAATGAGGCTGTCCTTGCAATGCATCGATGGCGAATTGCTGACGCAGCTTCAGCAAGGAGTGGCGACGCTACGCAGCTTGGTTCTGTCCCGGCTCAAGGCACTCCTGGTAACCAGCGGTGCCACAGGACTTACCATGCTGGCGCTAGGGGTCGCGCTGGGAGCATCTGTGCACAAAGCGGCTTATGCTATCGGCGGTCTACTCGCGTTGTCCTATCTTCTGGTATTTGTATTGATGCTGGATGCACGCGAGGCTGTGTGTACCATTTTTGCACTGCTGAGTATTAATGACGCAGGTTCTCGAGAAGAAATTGTGCAGCAGCTGAACAGATGCCAGAAGAAGCAATCCTCGACTGTTCTCCCTGAAGGGGAGCTCGACAGTATTTTGCAACAGACCCTTCTGGAGTTTCCGGAAAAGCTCAGGCTCAACATGGCCAAGGCTTTGCAAATAGGACCTGCGCTGGCGGCAGCAATGTCTCTATGCTGCTTCTTGGGTGCTTCTCTACTTGTGGAAGACATTCCGGATGAGGTTTACTGCCTGCCTGTTGCTTCGTCTTGCCTCGTGGCAATCAGCTTATTATGCGGGATTCAGGTGCAAATCAGAGCTTCGCCACTGGTGAGGAAACTTGTGCTTGACGACTTTGGCAGCCCCCCGCTCAAGTTGATCGAGGTTCAGACGCTTCATTTGCGGAAACAGGTGGCTGCAACTGCAGAAGGCCTAGTGCACTAATCCCCGTTTTCGAGCTGTTTGTTACTTTTTCAAGTTTGATCATTCAGGGCTTAGCACCAGCACATATGTCATCTGGATGCCTGGGAACAGCAGCGATTGTGTTGCTCAAATTCGCTAATTGAGTCACTGCAGGTCGAGCGGCTGCAAGGAAAAAGTTGGTCGCTGCCGTGAAGATGCCCAGAAGTAGCATCCTGTCGGCAGTTGAAATGGGCTGGCTGGCTGGTCTGCCAGATGTGGAACTCGAAGGATGCATTCTTGAGCACCTCCAAGCAGTGGCCGGCTTGTGCGAATTGGACCGAATAGACAGGGCCATCCAGGAGGCGAGCACAACGCTTCCAAGTTCGCGAAGCTCAGCCCTTAATGAAGCGATTCAAGCTCGCGACCGCATCCAAGAATTGACAGATAAGATAAGCCAAAGCATGGCAGCCTTGGATATCGAAGCCCTGCGCAGTTCTATCGAGATCTGCGAGAATGAAGCCTGGCCGAGTGAGGTCTTGCAGGAGGCCTACGCCATGAAGCAAAGGATCGAAGACCTGCTGCTGAGATTGACCGAGGCGACGAAGTCAAGGAATCTGCAACATTTGGAAGCGCTGATTCGCGAATGCGAAGCCTTTGGGTTGCCTGGACGCGACATTTCGGAGGCCCGGGACAAGCGAGATGCTTGGCAACACTTGCTCAAGTCCCTCGAGCTTGCAGTGGAACGTAAAGACCTGGATGAGCTGAATGAAGCAATCTACGCAAGCCAGGCAACCTGTCTTCATCCGAGTTCTGCAGCACACAGTTGCAGTTGCAGCTCATGCGCCTGTCATGTCTTGGGTTGCCTTGGTGCATAGCATAGGCAGTGCAACTTGACAGCCCCCAGCTGGCCAGCGCCGTGGCCACAAGAGATAGCATTCAAAGGCTGTTGCAGGACTGGTGTGAGCTTCTTTCTGGGATCTTGCTTGTCGCAGTCATGGAAAAAGGAGGCTCATTGTTTGTAGCACGACTGCGTTCGCAACATCTGCTAAAGCGGCAGAGCACCGAAGGCGAGCCCGGAAGTTGCCATCAGTTCACATCAACACTTGTTATTTACGAACAAACAGGAATCAATCCACCGGCTTTCATCGATGATTGTTCAAAGCTTGCTGTCGTTTGATTTGTTGAGTGCTTGCGGTCAAGTAAGCGTGAGCCCAGCGAAGATGCACCAAAAGATGTCGTGCAGGAAGTCCATCTAGCCATCGACAATCGCGACCTGGAATCGCTATCCTCGGCGATGAACCAATGCCGTGCGGAGGGCGTGCCAACACACTATCTGGAGAAGGGAGCATCCTTCAAGCAGGAGCTGGAGAAACTGTTAGCCAGGATACAGGACGCGATTCATTCGCAAGACGTGGCTGCAATAAGTTCTTGTGTCCTGGACTGTCAGCAAGCAGACATTCCAGCAAGATATCTCGAGAGCGCGATGGCACAGCAGAAGGAGCTCCAGCTGCTTGTTGATAATCTGGCAAGGGCTTGTCAAGCTCGAGATTTGGGTGCGGTGCAACAGGCAATGCAGGACTGCGACGGGCTCCGTGGTTGGATGAAGTTCCGGCTTCAATGAGCACTTAGTTGAGAAAAGCGCAATACAGTTGACCAACTGCAGGAATGCAGCGCGCGGGGGATGCCATGCAAGTATCTTGAAGAGGCCAGGCCATGCAGGGCTCTTCCAGCTCCGGGTTTGCGGTGCTTTGTGCATATGCAGTCACAGTGGCCTCCCTGATCTAGCCTGTAAGTCAAGAAGACATTTTGGGCAAGGGGTTTGCAAGGCTTGGGATTTCCTCCAGAAGGGTGTCGGGATGAGTTATGAGGACCAAAGGGCTAGCAGCAAAAACTAGAAATGAGCGGAATGGAATGTGCGTGCTTGTTGGAAAGGCTTCCTACGTCAGATCCATGATCTTTGCGCTCCGTAGCGACATCAAAGCAGCGGTCAACTCCAAAGATCTTCGCATTGTGAACCAAGCCATTCAGCAAGCTGTAGATTTTGGCTTGCCTTCCCAAGACCTATTGGAAGCCCAAAAGCACAAGAGCGCAATGGACGAGATGCTGCAGCCGTTGAAGTCGAGTCCCTGGAGCAGCAAGGTACAAGTACGTTTTGGAAGCAACATCTCATGCCTTGCTAATCCTTGTTACTTAAGCATGAGTTCTGCTCTGACTCTACATGATTTTGCTTGCGTACTGTTCAGGTGTTGATCGGCATGATCTGGCTGGGATTGAAGCTGCTCTTCGTGTGTGCACAGACTTTAACTTGAAGGCAAGCGAAATCGACGAAGCCAAGTTGGCGAAGGCCACGATAGAAAGGCTTCTTTCACAGCTGAAGGCTGCAAAGGAAGCAAAGGATGTCACGGCCCTAAAGGCCGCTATCCACTCATGCCAAGCTGAGAAGTTGCCTGACATTCATATGGTGGACGCTGTCTCATTGAAGCAAAACCTAGACGAGATTCTTGCCGGTGTTCATTTGGCCGTGGCCGAGCGCAACAGTTATAAGATTCGGACCGCCATCGAGAACTGCGAGGCCGCGGGCATGCCTGATAAGGACATGGAAGATGCTCGACGAACGCTGGAAGAACTCGATCGCCTTCTCACGCGGCTGCAGCAGGGCATGTCAAACAGGAAGATCGAGGCGCTTCGAGAGGCCATCAATGCGTGTCGAACATTTGGGGTTGCGGAGGCAGAAATGGAAGAGGCCATCAGCATGCAAGAGGGCATTGAAGCGATTTTGTCTTCTCTGTCCCGGGCCATGGAAAACAATGATATACATGCTCTTAATCAAGCTTTACTGAAACATCATGAAGCTGGCCTGCCCCCCAGTCCACACTTGGACGCAGCCATGGGTCTGAAGCGGAAAATTGAGCAAATGTTGGCCCGTCTTGGAGTAGCTGTGCAGCTGCTGGACATCCAAGTTCTAAAGGCAGCAATCGCGGAGTGTCAGTCAGCTGGCCTTCCAGAGCAAGACTTGAATGAAGCTCTGCTCGCAAAGGAAAGCATTGAAAGGATGCATCGTCGGCTGCAAGAGCAATGTCCCAATTTTTGTACACCTTCGATCGATCAATAGTGCGACACCCTTTTCTGATTAGGGGCTTCCTGTCCCCCTGCAACACTTGTTGCTCGATCATTTTGTTCGGGTTCCGGTCCCAACAATACTTTGCATTATTATGGACTGCCAGACCAAAACAGTACCAGATTCAAGATTCACAACAACTGTTCTACAGTGATTCTACAGCATCGCATCAGTCTGGTCACCTCCTGAGGGTTCAACATCAATACCGAGAGACATACCATCGCGCATCACATCACAGCACCTTCATAAAGCCATTCGAGGTTAGCGACTCTCCGCTTCTCTATCGATTGCAAGGACATGTCCGGCATAGAGGCTGCGATCAAGGCTCGCGTGTTGTTGCAATGACTTTTTGAAACATGCGTCTGCCATGATCAAGTTGTTATGAGAGTCCAGGCCAAACGGCTTGAATGCTGAAAGATTGTTGGAGGACTGTCCTATCGATTTGCTGCGGGCCGCGCTTGAAGAGTGCCATGCTGCCGAAGTTCCTGAAGCTGTATTGCATTCCGCACTGCAATCCAGAGCTGCAGAATCCAATGAATCAGACCGGCGCTTGATATGTGAGCTGGGACAAGATGACGAAAAGCGATTAGCGCACGCCAGAGCTGTGAGCATGCTGCATGAGTCCATCCAATCTGGACATGACGTGCCGCCTGAATTTGATGAGCTCATGAACGAGCTCATTGTGAATCATGTGCTATAGCTACAAGCAGAAAGTCTGATAATTCAGCGCTAGAGGAAGATTCATGACAGGCTGATGGCCCGTTTCACCTACTGATAACGCACCGGACATCATATAGCGATGATGTAAGCCAGAAAAGACTCGCTGACAAAGTCTCGCATTGAATCCGTGCCTCGTGCACCCACGCAACGCCACATGGCATAGATCTGACGCAAGCTCGAGGCAAGCACCCGCTTGCTAGCAGGCTCAAAGGCATTTGCAAGGGTGCTTCTAATGAGGAGCTTAGAGAGTTGTAGTAGCCAGGTGCTGAAGTCTCAAGGTCACGACGACAGGGAGCTTTTTTACAGATGCCCACCCCAGGTCCAGGGACCCTAGGGTAGATGTAGAGGAGCATGATGGATTATGGGTTGTGCAGCAAGCTGTGCAGGCAATTCTTAGTAGGATATGCGCTTGTGCTGCAGCCTGGACTTGCGTTCGGCAAGCGTATAGTGCATTACGGAATCCTTACTGGTAATCCCTATGGCGAGTCCTTGTAGATCACGATAAACACCTCAAGTGAGCGGGAAGAGACGTCGCATGATCCCTAGCGAACTCTTAACAAATCCAATGGCCATGGACGATCCTTGCACAGTTCCCAGACGTATCCCTCACAACTCCCTACATTATTCCCATGTGCAGCTCGGAAGATTCCCCACATGATCCTTAGCTGGTTTTGAAAAATCCGTGGAAAGCCTAATGATCTCTACGTAGTTCCTGTCTGATTTTTCAGGTCCCCAATGATATTCGTGTCGAATGTTAGTGTGAGTGTCGCAAAGCTTTTTGGCAGCTCATTTGAGCTCAAGCTTATGTCTTGCAATAAGTGTCGCCAGGGCCTGCGCTCTCCTGGCGACACTTGGTGTCTTGGGTGCCGGGCTTTGGAGGTGGCACAGCTGGTGCTTGGCCGGCGGTGGCCAGACCAAGGAGCCCGGAACCTGGCAGAGGAGATTTTACTGAGCGCCACTCGGCACGTCAAAAGGCTGGGTGAGCTTGGGCCTGGGCTGATTACTGAGCAAGCTCGGTATCAGCTTGACTTTGAGCCGGGAGCGGCCAGGAACCCCGCGGCTGCTGCCCCTCCTGCCCGTGCTGATCCTCCGGGACCGGCTGGGGAGGTAGGGCGGCGCGCCGAGGCGGTTGCAGGCCCAACTCCTGGCCCCGCGGCGCCTGTTGCTGCGCCGGTGGTAGACTCTGGAGCAGGTGTTCGAGAAGCTGGGCCCGCTCTGGAGGAGGACGAATACACCTACGAGTCCTTCTCGGAAGAGGTAAAGGCAGAGGATCCGGGGCCAGATCTGGGTACCGCTGCCAAGAGTTCGGCCCCTCCGCCGGAGCCGGTGGTACGAGCGCCAGACTTGGTGCTGCGGGAGGCCCCCCGCAAGAGAGAGCTGGAGGTGGAAGAGCTGCGTGGGGCTGGATCCTCGAAGAAAAAGAATAAGAAGAAGAAGGACAAGCGCCACCGGAGCGGGCGAAAACACCAAAGGGTGACTCAGAAGCCCGAGGGGGCGCTGAGTCACCGGCGGCTGTCCCAGGAAGATTTGGACTTCCCGAAGAGGCAGCATTGGAGAGACCGGCTGGCGTGATGTCTGGAGAAAGCGCCCCCTATGGCGAGGAGGCTGGGGAGGAAGAAAGAGAAGAGGAGAATGGAGAGGAAGAAGGTATGGAGAGCCTCGGCCTGCCGTACTCTGGGGAAAGCCCTGGCTCCTGGGCCTCGCTAGAGCTCCAGGAAGGCGCGGTGATAGAGGCCTTGCTGGAGCCCTTGCCGGGTGGAGTCCCTCGTCCGGTTGCGGTTTTGGGAATCTCTGCCAGGCTGGGCGAAAGGCACCGGGAGCTCGGGCGACTCTTCAATGTGCGGGGAGGCCGTATTCACCTATGCCTTACGGGGCGGAGGCTTTGCGAGGTCCACTCCGAAGAAGGCGTGGTGCATATCGACGAGTTGATGCTGTACCCCCCGCTGGCCTACGAGGGGGCCCTGTGCACGGTTCATGGGCTGCGGGCGCTGAAGGCGTTCAACGCGTTCACGGCCAAGCTCGGTGCCAGCGAGGGGCCGACGGCAAAGGCCCCAGCCCCAAAGAGTTCTGGTCGCAAGCGGCGACCCCCCCCGGAGGAGAACGAGACGACAGCTGCCGTCCCCGAACCGGGGTTGGGAGCAAGCCGCCTGGACGACCCCGTGGAAGGGGAAAGGAAAAGGAAAAGGAAAGAAAGGGAAGAACTGGTGGAAAGCCCCGACAAGGAGAAGGAGACCGAGAAGGAGAAGGAGAAGGCTGACACGAAGCCGAAGAAGTGAACTTTGGAGCTCCTCCGGCCGCTGCCGCACCTGGGCGGGGCTCGCATGCCGGGGGGAGAGGACGCAGGCGGCTGGCCAGAGGGTGTCAGCTCCTTTGGGTCGCTGGGAGCGTGGCTTGCATGGGGTTTTTTGAACGGCGCCTTGCGCGTCCTTGGAGAGTTTTTAGTGCCGCTTTTGGGGAAAGGGCGCAGTCCTCAGGAGTGGTCGTCAAGGCACAGATCACTTCTGCCCCTGCAGGTCGGCCCCAGTTGTACAGTTTGGCGTTTGAAGGGTTTGGAGTGGAAAGATGTTTCGCTTAATGCCGAGCTTGTACAGGATGCTTGGTTTTTCTGTACAGTTTGTGCCATTAACTGGCTTGGGGGCTACGGCTACGGAGCCTTCCCCACGTCGCCGTGCCCTGTGAGAAAGGCTGGTGGCAGTTGTGAGGTAGAGAGGCTTCTTAGATCTGAGGTTCAGTCCTCCTTGCTAAGAGATTCTGACTTTGTCTGCCTCGGATGTGATGCATGAGGTTGACGCTGCGGTACTTAACTATTCTGGTGAAGAAGTTCTGCCGATGAGGCCGCTGACAGTGGATCAGATGGAGCCGGGGCTGCCGCCGGTTGGTGCAGGTGGCCGAGTCTCGGCCTTTGATTTAGTTGATCCTGGAACCAAGCTGTTTCTTTCTGACCCCTCTCTTTCTTTTCTGCCGATTGAAGAGGTTGAGGAAGGCCCGTGCCAAGCTGCAGTTCATGTAGAGGCTGGGGCTTCCTCTGCGGTGGCTAGGCTTTTGGTAGATAGGGGAGTGTGTAAACCAGTCCGAAGGTGTGAAGTCGGACGGTTCCAAGGAAAGGCCATTCTCAACGGGTTATTTGGCGTGCCAAAACCCAAATACCTCAAGGATGGCAGGCCCATCCTCAGGACCATTATCAACTTGATTCCAAGCAACCGGATTCAAAGGGTCATAGGAGGCCACATCAATTGCCTTCCTTCGATCACGAAATGGCAGTCAATCATTTTGGGTGATGGCGAGAATTTGCTTGCGTACCAGTGCGACATGGCGTGTGCTTTCTATTTGTTTGCTCTGCCTGATGTTTGGCTTCCGTGGTTCTGTCTCAACTTTGACCTGTCGGGGCGTGAGTTGGGACTTCCTTCGGATGAGCGATACACCATCGCGTGTTGCACTTTGCCCATGGGTTGGAAATCAGCAGTGGGCGTGATGCAATGCCTCAGCCGTAGAGTCCTGCTGGAGTCCCGGCTGCCTGAGACGCACGAAGTGAGAAAAGACCGTATGGTTCCTAATTGGCTTGCCCACTGCTGGCGCCAAGGCGGCGAGCATGGTTGGTGGCAAGTGTACCTTGACAACTTCATCTCCTGTGAAGTTGTTGGTCCCAGAAACTCGCCTGGTGATGGGAAACGCTTCTTTGAGGATGCACATGCTGGATGGGAGAGTTTCGGCATCCTCTGTGCGGTTGACAAAGATGTTGAGGCCGCAGGAGTTGCCCATGAATTGGGAGCTGAGATTGATGGGGAGTTAGGAAGACTCTGTGGAGGCACCACCCGGTTGTGGAAGACAGCAGTTGGCTCAATCGCGGTGGCCCTGCTTTCAAAAAGCGTGACTCCGAAACGGATTCAAGTCTTGGGTGGAAGATGCGCGTTTCTGGCCCAGTTTCGCAGGCCACTGTTTGCGGTCTTTGCCGACCTGTGGCGAGCTGCCATGCCTGGCTGCTCCCTGGCTGCCCGGCGGCGTGCCGGAGTGGAGCTGGTTATGGCCGTGATGTTGTCGAGCTGTAATCTCAGAAAAGCCTTGCATGCAGAGGTTGTGGCTACTGATGCATCAGAACGGGGTGGCGCTGTTTGTGTGTCCAAGGGCCTGACCTGGTCTGGTAGGTCCTACAGTTCGCTACTTCAAACGGGGATTGCCCCCCTTGAACCCAACTTATTGGTGATCTCCCTGTTTAATGGCATTGGTGGGGCCTTCAGAGCATACGACTTGCTGGGCATCCATCCATTGGGGCTGGTGGCAGTCGAGTGCCACAAACCTGCAAACAGGGTGACTCTCCGTGCATGGCCGCGCTGCCTTGTCGTGGAGGATGTTAATTTGGTGGGTAACGCCATGGTTCTTAGTTGGCTCATGCTCTGCCCAATGGTCAATGAAGTGCATGTTTGGGGGGGTTTCCCTTGTGTCCATCTTTCGTCTGCACGCGCAGGGCGGAAAAACCTTGAGGGACCAGGGTCAAACCTGTTCTGGAAGTTGGTCGAGATTATCCAGATTGTTCAAGAAATCGTTGCGCCTGTGGCTTCAGTCAAATGGGTCGTTGAAAACGTCGCCTCCATGGATCCCGATGCGCGAGATGAGATCAGCTCAGTTCTCGAAGTCCTTCCCTTGCGGCTTGACCCTGCTGATGTGCTTCCTTACTCCCGCCCTAGATTTGCATGGATCTCTGAGCAACCTTCCCGTACTGAGGGGTGCGAATTGGTACAGCGGAAAGGCTTTGTGGAAGTTACCCTGACTGCTAGCGGGGTTGGAGAGTCTCAATGGATTCAGCCTGGCTGGAACAGGGTTGACCCCTCGTGTCCGTTGCCAACCTTCATGAAATCCATTAATCATTAGACGTGAACAACCCCCTCCGGTTCCGGCTGGGCTCCGACGAACGCCATGGGATGCCCAAGGCAGATGGGCGGATGATGAGTTTCGCTTTCCGCCATACCAATATAAGGAGCAGTT